ATTTCTCATACCGATTTTGAGAGTGGTGGTAAGGAGTGATGATCACAGTAATAAACAGAATTCACATCGTCAGATATGCCCATCCAAATCCAAGATACTAATCTGTTTCTGCCCTGATGAGAACAGAAATCCAGAGCTCACATTTTCACTGTTAAAAATTTCCCTTAGCAGGAAACAAGATAAGCAGAAGTAAAGTCCTATGTTAGCAAAGCATAAATCCTTCAAAGTCACCCCTTATAGAAAGCATGGAGACATTTTTAGTGAAGAAAATTCGTGCATGTGATGTTAAAATCCAATAGTAAAAATATTCATAATGGAACGTGAGTATGCCTGGCCCCTCCTCTGTCAGCTCTGGTCTCTCAGTCACTTCTGCCTTTAGTTTGTTGCATATTTCTAAATAATATGCATATATTTCTTGATTCATAAGCTTTGGATGTTATCTGTTTATTTCTTGTATTGATAAAAGATTTAGTTCATCTTCACTAGCCCTACTTTTTTCTAACCTTTTCTCAAATTAGTTATATCTTTTTGTCAATACATTTATTGGGTGCCTTTGTAATTTTAATTAATATGCATAAGCTTCTAGTACTGTTCTACCAACTATATAAAAAACTTCATGGAGCGCCTGGGTGGCTCAGTCAGTTAAGCATCTTTCTTCGGCTCAGGTTATGATCCCGGAATTCTGGGATCGAACCCCACGTTGGGCTCCCTGCTCAGTAGGGAGTCTGATTCTCCCTCTCCCTCCACTCATTCTCTCTCTCTCAAATAAATAAATAAAATCTTAAAAAATAATAAAAATAAAAATAAAAACTTCTTGATTCCCAACTTGGTAAGATGAAGATGTTACCTTCCTGCTACCTTCCTACTACCTATCTATCTTTCCTACTACCTCCTTCCTACCTCCCAGATTCTCTGTATTTTTCTTTAATTTGTCATAGCTGATAATATTTATTTGGCAGTCATATAAACCCTCTGTCATTTACCTATAAGTTGATTCTATAAGTTGAAAATTAGTAACATTTTCATCATTATTATTTATATAAAGCTAATAGTACTCTATTGCTTAGAATCCATTCCATTTTTCCTTCTTGAACTCACTAACTTCCTATTCTAATCAATCCATCGTGGCATATACAAAACATGACTTTCTTGTACAGTTTTACTATTGTTGTTGTCCTTCTCAGTCGAGGCCTGTTCCTCTGCATATTCAGTTTCTGTTTCAAAGCTTCCTTGGGTTGGATCCACATTTTCCTGAATTCCACTTACCCTTCTGTCAGTCTCTTAAATTGCTTCATCTTTACAACTCCACCTACACACTTGTGCTCTAATAAATAAAATCACTTACATCCTTCACTGACTTCCATCAATGATTTTGTAGCACTTGCAGGCAATACTGTCATTTAATATTCCACAATGACTGGCTTTTCCTCTGATTGTGCTTGGTATTAAAAAATAGTTGACTCTGGAGCCCTGGGTGGCTCAGTCGGTTAAGCGTCCAACTTTTGATTTTGGCTCAGGTCATGATTCAGTGTTTTGAGATCAAGCCCCACGTCAGGCTCCACACTCAGCAAGTGAAGACTGCTTGTCTTTCTCCTTTCCCCCGCTTGCATGGTCTCTCTCTCTTTCTCTCTCTTAAATAAATAAATAATAAATAAAATCTTTTAAAAAAATAGTTGACTTTCTTCCTCTGTGAATCCTCCTTAGGTATATTGGTTTCAAGGACATCAGGTGGGTTTCCCACCAAAATTATTTGCATACTGGACACTATTTTATGTTCTTGTGATATTTGGTGATTCCCATAGAAACGCAGTATGCAGTCTATAAGGACCACTGAAATTAAACCACTTCCCCTGGCACATTCCAGGTAGTTTTCCTCAGAGACCACAGATACAGGACCTATATTACCAATGAAGGGATTAATAAAAGATAAAATTTTTTTTAAAAGGTCTCTCCTTTTCCCTCCTTCAAATGAGATTATATAACTAGAATCTTTGAAATGATTTTATTCTCTTTTCAAAGATCCTTACTAATGCATTTTTCACTCTTTTCTGCCACAGGCCCTCAAGTCCTGTTGATTGCAGTCTTCACCCTCACAGGAGCTGTGGTTCTGCTCCTGCTCATTGCTCTTCTGGTGCTGAGGTACCTACCACCCCCTTTGTCTTGCTGTGCTCATCATCCAAAGAGCGGGGGAGGGGAGAGGGAGAAGTCTGATGTCATCAATGATAATATACATCGACAAGAAGGTGTCTAGACAGATCTAAGATCATGAAGGCATTCTGCATCAAAGACTACATCGAGGGCAGAACAGTATTGAATGGATCAGTTAGAGACACCTGAACTCATATCTATCTCAGTTCTGTGACTTAATAGTTGTGCGGTTTTTAGTGTGTTATTACAGGTTACTTAACTTCAGTATCCTCATCTGAACTGTTGTGAGAACTTGAAATAAAGTGTGGATAGTGACTGCCATATAATAGGCATCCTATAGATGGAAACAGCTCTTCTGCTGTATTATTGGTATTTTGTGGGACATTTCAATCTCTATATTATATAGTGTTCAGGCTGGAAGAGTCTTTAGAAATCATCTACTTCACACCTCCCATTTTAGCCTGGGGAAAGAGACCCAGAAAACCAAATGGCTTGTCTGGAGTCACATCACCAGGTGGTTGTAGGGCCAAAACCAGCACTCAAGCCCTCTGACCATCAGTTCCATGGTTGTTCTACTCAATTTGGACAGATGAAGTGCCCAGCACAGTGTTAGACGCATACTGTATGCTCAGAAATATTTGTTGAATATATAAATGAATGCGTGAATACCACACTATGCTAATCTGTTATGTTAAACACATAAAACTTTCCATCCTATTATATTGTCAGGATCACCTCCATTTCCCAGCTGAACCAGAGAATAGTTTTTCTCTTCGTATCACATGCTTTTATCGGTGTGGCACTGTACTTTCTCATGAGAGAGTCCACTCTGTTGGATGTCAGTTAAAGGTTTCTCCAGGAAAGGAAGTAGAATGTTCTGTTCAGTCTGAAGGCAGAACTTGACTCCTGTAACTTTGCATTACCCCAAATTTGAGCTGTATATACACATATACAGTGTATGCTGGCCATTTAGTTGAAGATAACCAGAAACCAAAATTTGAGGAGAATAAAGCCAGTCAATAGCAAGGTCACAGATGTGGCTGATGCCCTTCAGGAACCGAGTCCAAATGAGTGTCAGCTTCAGATCGGGGGGAATCACAAGGTAAAAGACAGTAACAGATGGAAACAGGAAGAGACAGGTGTGTCCTGTCTGGCTGGAGCAATGGTGTGTCCACAAGGAGATCTGGTAGACAGATGTTATTCTTATAGTTTTCCATTACAACTGCCTATATAAGGAAAATAGTGAATGATTTATGGCATCCTCTGATTCAATATGAATGACACGTGGCTCTGTAGGGTCCCAAGAGTCTCTTTGAATGCAGAGATGAGAGCCTTTAAGGCTACAAGCCTTCTTTGCCCCAGGTCCTAGGATAATCATTGGTCAATAATATGCTATTTTATATGTATTTAATAGAGGAATACTCAGAGTTAGATGGAAGCATAGGAAGAAAATAGTCATTTCTGCTTAGAATCCAATAAGAAAAGCATCATGAATGACCTAAGAAGGTGAGTAGAAGTTTGTCAAATAACCACAAGCAAAGATAAACTCAAGGACAAATAGGTCAATGGAAAAATTCAGATTCTAGAACCAGACACAGCAAGCATGAGAATTTGGAATATGCTAGAGGTGACATTACAAGTCAATTGGAAAATGATGGCACGGTAGGCTTGCAACATGGAAAAAATGAAATTAAAATCCTACCTGAAACCATACACAAATATAGAGTTCATTCCATACGGATTATAAATGGAATAAAGACTTAAATGTGAAATTCAAACTTCAAAACTTAGAGGAAATTAATAGAAAAGGACTTTATGATCTCAAGTAGGAAAATATTTCTAAGATAGAAACGTCATAGAAGAAACAAAATAAATGGGGCCATAATAAAAACTAAATGTTCTATACAACAAAGTTAAAATAAGCAATAAACTAGAAGAAAGTATTTGCAACTCAAAAGGACAAAAGATCTGTTTTGCAGAATATATAAGGAACTTATGTAAATTATGATATATGGGCAAAATTGTGAATGAATATATAACTGTATGTTCTATAAAATAGCTAGAAAGTATTTGAAAAGATATTGGATCTCTCTGTAATAGAAAAATGAAACACAAAACAATAAACACCATCTCACATACATCATAATGGTAAAAAAAAAATAGTTTAATAATACCAAATGTTAAGAATCCGGAAGAAATGGGAATTCTCATGTTGGGAAGGTGTAAGTAGTATAACCACTTTGGAAAATAATTTGACAATATCTGTAAAGTTGTGTTTCCTATAACCCAAGGATTCTGCTTTATCTGTACTATCTGGGGGAAACACTTAAAAAATTGACATTTTGAATGCTGAAATACATGTTACATTTTCTCTGTGCTTTTCTATTTTCTTTATACACATATTCTTTTTTTTTTTAGATTTATTTATTTATTTATTTGAGAGAGAGAATGAGAGACAGAGAGCATGAGAGGGAAGAGGGCCAGAGGGAGAAGCAGACCCCCCGCTGAGCAGGGAGCCCGATGTGGGACTTGATCCTGGGACTCCAGGATCATGACCCGAGCCGAAGGCAGTCGCTTAACCAACTGAGCCACCCAGGCGCCCTATACACATATTCTTAAAGGCACAAATGCATAAGAAGAACTGGCTTGTTGGGGTGCCTGGGTGGCTCAGTCATTAAGCATCTGCCTTTGGCTCAGGTCATGATTCCAGGGTCCTGGGATTGAGCCCTGCATCGGGCTTCCTGCTCCACGGGAAGCCTGCTTCTCCCTCTCCCACTCCCCCTGCTTGTGTTCCCTCTCTTGATGTGTCTCTGTCAAATAAATAAAATCTTTAAAAAAAAAAAAAAAGAAGAAGAAGAAGAAGAAGAACTGGCTTGTTTAGGAATCTGGTGTATTCTCTGGTGACTTAAAAATTAACATATTTGCTTTTCAAGCTTACCAGTTTTGAATTGTTTCTGTTTTTTCCTTACTCTTTCCATGTCATCAGTTCAGATTCTTTATAATAGTGAAGGGCTGCCTTAGTGAAGGACCTGAGAAAATGAAATGGAAAGAAAGAAGGGAAGAAAAGAAAGAAAGAAAAAGTTAAACTAACATCAGAAATCATTACAGCTGACCTAATGGCCAGCATTCACCAGTTTGCAGAACATGGAATCACACCACTGGGCTAACATCTCTCACCACATATCTACCTGAGAATGTCAGGGTTCTAAATTTCTCTTAGTGTTCAGAAGCTAAATGACATGAATGTTAATAAAAACCTACTGACTGGTTTTATACCTTTCACAGAAAATATAAAAAAGAATATGAACTTCGTCAGAAAAAATGGTCCCACATTCCTTCTGAAAACATCTTTCCTCTGGAGACCAATGAGACTAACCATATTAGCCTAAAGGTAAGATGAACCTCACCTGTTGAAGAATGCTAGGGCTGGTGCAACTTGCCAGGTATTTGACAAGGCTGGTAACACGGTAAGAAATGGGCCAAGCAGGGATCCTCTGCTTGAGAATCTAAGACTTGGACATTTTCTAATTCTCAGCTCCCGTCTTTCCATTGATCCTCCAGTGTCCTAAATGTCAGCTGGTTGATCCAATGAACACTTCAGTGGAGGCTGAGATTTGGTGTGTTACTCATTCTTTGCCTCTGACCTAGAAGGGAAATGCATATGGTGTGCATTTGTCATGGAAGTGATATAGAAATAAGTAGAGCATTTGAGCCCCACTAAGCCTTGACTACTACTCTGCCCATGCTAAGGATGTATGCTTATCTTGCTCATTGCTGAAGAAAGAGGCCTCTGCTGACATTTGCCTGCATTCTCCCTCTGCCAGGACACATCACAGCAGCCAGGAATAATCACTCCCCTTGGGCACAGCCAGTGCTGGAGCCCAATCATCTCATCTGCAGTACTCGCCAGAAGGAGTGCACAAGTTAAACTTTATCATAACTTTGCTGATGAGGAAACCAAAGGATGTGGGGTTAGGAAACAGTGCAGGGTCACGCACAGCTAATGAGTAGGATTACTGCAAATAATAAGAGTTGACACTTACTGAGCACTTCTCCCGTGCCAGGGGCATTGACCCATTTCATCTTCCCCCGACAAACCCTGGGAGGTAACAGGGCTAGAACCTGGGGAACATGGTCACAGTTTGAACCTAGTCTGTCTAACTGTGAAGTCTAAGATCCTAAAACCTACCATTCACCATATTCTTACAGAGTTTTTAGACCAAAGCACACTAAGAGAAGGAGACCCAGAACCTCCACATGAAGGGCATGGTGGGGTTCCTCAGCGTAGGGCCAAATCGATAGGATAGTGTGGCTTGAGATGCCTCCCTGCCTAAAACCAGCAAAAGTACAATTGCAGCTGGGTCAGGTGTGTCCATCTCCTGCATGTCGCACTCTAAGAGCTAGGATACCCTCACGCTCTACAAGGACTAGATCTCCCTTGCGCCCAGTAATGCTCCTGCTCTGACTGACCCTCCTGTTGCATTGGGAACCTCACACATAAGACTTCTATTTGCAAAGACCACTCTATCTCAGGCAAGCGTCAGGATAAAATCCATCTTGCAGTAATTCACAGAAAGGTGCAAATGACCGTAAGACTATCAGACTTCCCAAGAGAGAATTTTTGGACCTAAATGACTAATTGACAGTACCCCAGGAAGGGGGGAGGAGACCTCTAGAAGGAGTGAGTGCTCCTCCACCTCTGGTATGACGCCAGGATGGGCTCCCACGTGGCCCACCTCTGCGCACATCCAGCCATGCCTCCACTCCTCACAAGCCTCCCCCACTGCCTCAAACCCCACATTTCATATTTGTTCTTTTTGATGTAGCCTAAAATACTATGTCTCTGTTTTCTTCAAATGTAGATATTCCTAGAAATATAACCCATCCATCCCTCATCAGACATTACACAATTTCTATGCATGAATTCATCAGATTAACCACTCACCTGGCTAAGGACTAAGTCTTTGGGACAAAAAGTTTAAGAGAGGGACCAGAGAGGTGATTCGAGGCATGGACCGTCACAGTCACACTGAGTTTCAGGCAGGCTGGGAAGCAGGTGGCCAAGGACTAACTGTCAAGAGAGGTCTTCCAGCACTGTGAGTCAGATGGAGCAGGGAGAAAGCCCAAGGAGGTCAGCCAAAGTCAGCCAGAGGTGGAAATGCCGCAGCACCAGACAGGAAATGGTTCAAGTCCCAGATGTGCATGTGTGCTGAAGGCAGAGATAAGGAAACAAGACCACGGGATGGGATGAGAAAGAGTACATCCCTGTACGAGGACAGAAAGGGGCAGAAAACCAAAGCAGACAAGGAGAGAAGTCAGGAAGTTCAAAGGGATGAATAACAGATGAAAACAATGAAAAAGATGAAGATAACTCATTTGAGGATAAAACACTCAAATTTGCAAGAAAATTGCACAAGCTTTATTGCATTTGATGCCCAGGACCCCTGTCAGTTAGAATTTCCCAGATGAAGTACTGAGGTTCAAATAGTTTAAATGAACTAATCGAGGGCTCAGAAAAAAGAATATGAGACAAGGCAGCAAGCTCAGATTTTGGCATGCCCATATGTGACACTTAGTGTCATTTAACCCGTATGTGGCCCATTAGTAAAATGAGAAGAGGAAGAGAAGACATCTGACATTTGTTAATCTGCATTGTGCCAGGCATCATGCTTGGAATTTGATATAGTTTATTTTGCTCACATCTCAAAAGGTCCTAACGAGGTAAGTTTTAACCAATATCATAATACATCACAGGTTTCTATGAGAACCAAATTAAAAGATGCACTATTTCTCAATCTTTTTTCTGCCTTGAGACCAGAAGTCTGGCAGACCAAGAGCCATATCTAGCCTGCAGGTGTGTGTGTGTGTGTGTGTGTGTGTGTGGTTTCATTTAATATTTAACATCTTCTAAAATTAATTGCCAAATATAAAAATTTTGGAATGGCATAGGAAAATCCAAATCTGACAAATCTGATGATCTGGCAACTCTCCGCTGAACCCAGAGCTGATGGGGCTGCCCCCCTTAGGCACCCCACCCAGTGTCCTCACTTGCTTTGCTAATTGAACGCTGAGGTGTGAGTTTGCAACTCAAGAGCACAACAGGCTCCCCTAGGAGCACCAGTCTCTAGCTACAGACAATGATTCCCAGCAGAATGGGCCAGGAGAGAAGGAAGCAAAGGAAATCCCTGGCTGACAGGCCTTAAGAAGGGAGGAAGAGGGAGGAAGACCCAGAGGTAAGGATGGGAGGTAGATACCCGGGAAGAAGACCCTGGTGGGGAGGGAAGATGAGTAGTGACAGGAAAACACAAGGCAATTGTCACAGTTTTGCCAGAAGCCTTCCCGGCATGCTGTGAACCAACAGATACACCCACCCAGCAGACCGTCTCTGCCTTCACAGTAGATGCGACAAGATATGAAGTGTCTATAATAATTAGCTTTTTCTTGTGCCAGATCGACGATGACAAGAGACGAGACACAATTCAGAGACTCCGGCAGTGCAAATACGACAAAAAGGTGACTAGTCTCTGCTTCTCTGAACTCTCAGTCGGACTGTGTTCCAGGCCTTCTGCTCATCCTTGCCCTGGCTCCTGATGTGGACCGTGCAATGGTGCAGGCTGCCTCCAGGGGTTGTTCCTGGAGCTTTTCACAGGGATGGGCAGGGCTCTGCTTCAAGGGTTACAAAACTCACAAGGCTGGACAAATAGAATTTTTAAGGGGGGTGGAGCATAGGAAGGAAAAGGAGAAATGAAAGAGTTCAGAGCTGGCCAAACTACCCTAGTATGATACTGTGGCTCGCTGCAGTGAGAGTACAACAATTGCACATGGGGGTTTTGTATCTTCTTTCCTCCCTGGGCCCTCCCTTTTCATTTAGTCATTCTCAAAGAAACATTCAAACCTGAGCCTATGGCAGGTATTAGGCACCCGGGATATAAATATCAATAAAATCGTGTCACTGCTCTCAAGAGCTTACAGTATACAGGGAAGATAGACGCACAACAAATTATTATAATATGCACAGAAGTGGTCGTGCTACAGCATTATCTCCTTAATTCAAATGATCTTTGCAGCAAGTGATTCTAAAGGATCTCAAGCACAACGACGGCAATTTCACTGAGAAACAGAAGATAGAATTGAACAAGGTATGTGTCTCTTACTTAAAATCCTTAAAGGAGAAATAGCTTCACTCCATCTTCCCTGAGCACTGAAGTCCCTGGCGGAGCCAGATGTTATGGGGGATGGAGACCAAAAAAAGCCCTCAGACCAAGAAATGGGAGACTCTACTTCTTTGTTGAAAATTCTACCAACAGAAGTTGAAGAGTGGTGTTTGATGGTGTAAAAAATTTTAGACATCTATTAGCATGTCCTAGAAAATGGCCCTGATATTATTTGCGTGTCGTCAAAGGTTCGTCTTCCAGGCTCCTTGCTGATAAAAGAAAAACTGTTGAGGAAGATATAGTGGCCGTGAGAAATGTACTGACATTCCAACGTATCAGGAATAATACATCTTCCCAAAGACCTAAAGCACGGCATGTTTTATTAGCATATTAATTTTTACCGTGGCCCTGCTCTCTGGCTGACTTGCTTTATAACTAAACATGTTATCTTAGTTGCTTCAGATTGACTATTACAACCTCACCAAGTTCTACGGCACAGTGAAGCTTGACACCATGATCTTCGGGGTGATCGAATACTGCGAGAGAGGATCCCTGCGGGTAAGGAACCATGATCATTTCCAATTTCCTAACTGGCCAGCCATATGGGAAGAAAGAATATTTAGTAGAAATGTTAAATGTTTACCCAGTGAAATAATATCAGAGAATTATCAGGAAAAAGTGGTACGTCCATATGCTTCCTAACTAGATCACTTAGATTTTGTCAACCAGTCTTACTACATCTTTACAAAAACAAAACAAAAACAAAAAACAAAACCAAGCCAAAAATAGGAGTGTAGACTTGAAAAGCCAGAGAACAGTTGTGGGAAAGTGAATGATTACCTCTAAATTCATTTTATTTTACTTACATACTTGCTTTTGCACTAAGAGAAAAATGGATAGTCAACCCTAACCCAATAAGCACTGGAGACTTGTCCATAAGTCCTGGTTCTGCTATAGTCTAAATTCCTACCCTTCTCTCCTTTGGGAGAGACTGAGGATGGCCCAGGAGTTGCCAGATGTGGTCAGGCATTCTGGTTGAGCAAGTCCAAAGCAGAAGGAGAAAGTAAGATAGGGCTGAACCAAATTCCTGGGAAGAACAAAGCTTCAAGCTAGGAATATCAAATCACTGGGTAGTTCAGAAGGCAGGCATACACGAGAACCATTTACATACAAGAAACAAAGTCAGGTTTCAAGCAGAAACAGGACCAGAATGGGGAAATGGGCAGGAGCAGAAAGGAATCCAGGATAATTGCATCAAAGAGCATTGAAATATTTGCACCTCACCTTGAGCACTTTCTGTGCATCTGTTACAAGAGCTTTCAGCCTTTTAAATACCTTTGGGTAAGGTGACCATATAATTTATTAGGATACTTTGAGAAGGAAAGGGGTACTATAGCGATTATGTTGGAACAGCAGATAGAAACTGCAACTGGGTCCAAGCAAACAACGACGTGTGGTCACTGCCTTTGGGCTACATTCAGACCCAGTTTCTTAATTTTCTTAAAAATAATGGCACTATCCTCCCTACAACAAAGTCAAAATATGAAGAATTGGGGCATTAGTAACTTCAAAGAGGTCCAAATATTCACAATACAATAAAATTTTTAAATAATAAAATTTTTAAATTAATCTCTTAGAATTTTTTTAAAATAAGCTTCAATTATAAAAAGAAGAGTAGCTTTCAAAATGTGTGGCATAAACTTAAATCTAGCTTCAAGGAAAAAAAAAATAGCCCTAAATGCTATTTTCTCTTAAAAGAATAATCTGTTCAATGCAAAATTTAGAGGAATAACTATGGCCTAAGTAAAGGAAACTTACAAAGTTTAATTATTACTAAAAAGATAGAATTTTGAAGTGCTTTTATGAGTTTTTTGTTTTTTGTGGGTTTTTTTTGGCGAGAGAGAGAATGAGAGAGAGCACGAGAGGGAGGAGGGTCAGAGGGAGAAGCAGACTCCCTGCTGAGCAGGGAGCCCGATGTGGGACTCGGTCCCAGGACTCCAGGATCATGACCTGAGCCGAAGGCAGTCGCTTAACCAACTGAGCCACCCAGGCGCCCTATGAGGTTTTTTTAAAATATAAAACATAAAAGCTTTGACATTGGCCCCAACAACTTCTTAATAGACACATCTCCTGAAGCAAGGGAAAAAAAGCAAAAATAAACCGTTGGGACTTCATCAAAATAAAAAGCTTCTGCACAGCGAAGGAAACAAGCAGCAAAACTAAAAGGCAACCTACAGAATGGGAGAAGATATTTGCAAATGATATCTCTGATAAAGGGGTACTATCAAAACCTATAAAGAACTTAGAAAACTCAACACCCAAAACCCAAATAATCCAGTTTAAAAATGGGCAGAAGACATGAATAGACATTTTTCCAGAGAAGACATCCAGATGGTCAACAGACAACATCACTCATCATCAGGGAAATACAAAGCAAAACTACAATGAGATATCACTTCACACCTGTCAGAATGGCTAAAATTAACAACACAAGGAACAGCAGTGTGTTGGGGAGGATGTAGAGAAAGGGGAACCCTCTTGCACTGTTGGTGGGAATGCAAACTGGTACGGCCACTCTGGAAAACAGTATGGAGTTTCCTCAAAAAGCTAAAAATAGAACTACCCTATGATTCAGCAATTGCACTACTAGATATTTACCCAAAGGATACAAAAAAATACTGATTTGAAGAGATACACGTACCCTGATGTTTATAGCAGCATTATCAACAATAGCCAAATTGTGGAAAGAGCCCAAATGTCCATCAACAGATGAATGGATAAATAAGAGGTGGTATATATATATATATATATATATATACACTATGGAATATTATTGAGCCATAAAAAAGAATGAAATCTTGCCATCTGCAACAACATGGATGGAGCTAGAGAGTATTACACTAAGTGAAGTAAGTTAGAGAAAGACAAATACCATATGATTTCTCTCATGTGGAATTTAAGAAACTGGGTGGCTCAGTTGGTTAAGCGACTGCCTTCGGCTCAGGTCATGATCCTGGAGTCCCGGGATCGAGTCCCACATCAGGCTTCCTGCTCAGCAGGGAGTCTGCTTCTCCTTCTGACCCTCCCCCCTCTCATGCTCTCTCTATCTCATTCTCTCTCTCAAATAAATATATAAAATCTTAAAAAAAAAAAGAAAAAAGAAACAAAACAAATGAACATGGGGCGGGAAAAAAAAGAGGAAAACCAAGAAACTTTGAGCTGTAGAGAACCAACTGATGGTGACCAGATGGGAGGTGGGTGGGGGATGGGTTAAGTGGGTGATGGGGATTGAGGAGGGCACTTTTTTTGATGAACACTGGGTGTTGTAAATGTTGAATCAGTAAATTCTACACCTGAAACTAATATTACACTGTATGTTAACTAACTGGAATTTAAATAAAAACTTGGAAGAAAAAAAAAAACACCATAAATCCTCTCATACTTCTAATTAAAATTTTTAAAACAAAAATACACAAAAATAGGAATAAAAAATAAGGCAATGGAAAAGATATTTTCAGTAGTGAAAGAATACTTCATGACTATTAAATTACGAAGTCTTAAAAAAGGAAAAACAAATTTCAGAAGCAATATAACCATGAAAGTTTGACTCAAAAACTAAAAACTTAAGTAGGACAATAATGATACAAGAAATTATAAATTCCATTGTAGAGAATACCAGATTCAGCTTAATTCTTTAAAACTTCAAAAAGTAATTCTCATTGTCCACATAAATACTATCCTAATGTTAAATGAAAAACGAACATCTTCTAAATTCATTTAACATTCAACAAGGCTAGCATAAAGTTGATAGTAAAATATGATTAAAGACTAACCACATTTATGAAATTAGAAGGAAAAATTATAAATAAAATACTAGTAACTCTAAGCCAGCTACATGTAAAAAGCATAATATAATCAGATATGGTTAATTCTATGAAAGGAAAAAATATTAGTATAACACCTCATAACAAAAGGTCATAGAAAACTCATGATCATTTTAATCAATGCTGATATAAAATAAACACACATTCCTAATAATAACAATTTCAGGTCTTTCAAAATTACAGCGCTTCCTCAATTTACAATGGGTTACATCCCCATAAAGCCATCATAAGTTGAAAATATCCTAAGTCAAAAATGTATTTAATATGGGCGCTTGGGTGGCTCAGTCGTTAAGCGTCTGCCTTGGGCTCAGGTCATGATCCCAGGGTCCTGGGATCGAGTCCCACATTGGGCTCCCTGCTTAGTGGGGAGCCTGCTTCTCCCTCTCCCACTCCCCCTGCTTGTGTTCCCTCTCTTGCTGTCTCTCTCCCTCTGTTGAAAAATAAATAAAATCTTTTAAAAAAAAATGTATTTAATACATCTAACCTACCAAACAGCGTAGCTTAGCCTGGCCAACCTTAAATGTGCTCAGAACACTTACATTAGCCTACAGTTGGGCAAAATTTCTAACACAAAGCCTATTTATGATAACGGGTTGAATATCTCATGTAATGTACTGAATACTGTACTGAAAATGAAAAACAGGACGGCTGTATGAGCAGAGAATAGTTGTAAGCGTATTGGTTATTTACCCTGTAATCGAGTGGCTGGCTGGGGGGTCTGAGGTTCATTGCCCAGCATCATGAATCGCCAGCCCGGGAAAAGATCCAGATTCAAAATTCGAAGTATGGTCTCTACTGAATACATATCACTTTCACACCATTGTAAAGTAAAAAAAATTGTCAGTCGAACCATAGTAAGTCAGGGACCATCTATAGAAATGTTTTTCATAAGAGGGCTAGACCAAAGCTGATTCATTTGATTTCCGTGAGATGAAATTTTAGAATACCAATTAACAGGGCCTAGTCAGAGGGTTTCACAGGGCCTTTTAATCTCTAAAATGCCCAGTCAACATTTAGGTAGTGTTTTTGGCTCTCTGCCCCAAGGTAGGAAACCTCTGTTATCTGAGTGGTCCTGGGCCCCCTTCTGGTACTGCTTACTCCTGTTGGGAGCAGACAGCAGACCCTTCTACAGGAAACCACTCCTTTGTGTCTTGAATCTCAAAGCAAAGCCTGTGCCAACGCAAACTTTATAGTCCCCTCCCTGACATCACCCCTTTAGGCTTCAATCCATAGCAAATCCCATCGGAACCTACTTTTGTAAGGAAACAAAGGAACCAGTCTCTCCCTAAATAAAAACAATATGCTTCCCATCTTATAAATATACAACAACATTGGCTAACCTTATTAGGAACAATCGACCCATTTATGCAACAAATATTTATGAGCCATCTATACATGCCAGACATTGGTCTAGATATTGCAGATAGAGAACAAAAATTATCAGAGTTTACATTTTCATAGGGAGAAGAGATCATAAATAAAAATATAAAATATGTCAGGTGCTAAGGGAAAGAATTACTTTAGAATCTGTCTGCTCATAATTTCCCTCTCTTAACCTGGCCTGGTACCCACAGCCAAGGCAGCCTTATCTGAAATGATTAATGACTTTGGACCCTTCTTTGGAAATTATTGGCACAGTGCCTGAGTTAAAACTAAAGGTCAGATGGGGCTATTGTTGGTTGTTCGAGTTTTACTGTGAAGAATGGTTATTAACTTCGCTAAAACCCTGGATCTTGGGGCACCTGGGTGGCTCAGTCTTTAAGCGTCTGCCTTCGGCTCAGGTCATGATCCCAGGGTCCTGGGATCGAGTCCCACATCAGGCTCCCCGCTCAGCGGGAAGCCTGCTTCTCCCTCTCCCACTCCCCCTGCTTGTGTTCCCTCTCTCCCTGTGTCTCTCTCCGTCAAATTAATAAATAAAATCTTTAAAAAAAAAAAAAAACCTGTATCTTAATAGAACCATCATCGTATTAAAATGTTGAGTTCAAAATTCTAGGTGATACAGTTCACACAAAATACAAGAACTCGCTCTTATTGACAGAGGACTTGGTAAATGTAAAGAAAACTTAGGGCTGTAAGCTAATGGATGCAAGTGATCATAAAACATAAGCCTAAGGAAGAGATTCCTGAATAGCAATTCCTGGTTGAAACACTAGTGGAATTTCAGTGAGCTAGAACCTACAACCCACCTGTGAGTCAGGCTTACAGCCCATGCTCCCGGCAGGTGTCTGCTCATTCCTTTACCCCTGGCTGGTGGAAGAACCAGGATTTGGGATATTAGGGGTATCTCCTGCTCATTTCATTGCAGTGACAGCCACCTGATGGTTCATAAGAAAGAAAAGAAATACATATTCAGGAAAATCAGGACGATGGATTTTCAGTTTGTTTCTGAGCCCCAGGTCCTGTGATTAGAAGATCATGATTAGCCTGTAGTTGTCTCTCCACAGTACCCCTCCTTGCAACTTCTTCCTTTTCTTTTTCTGCCATTCAGGAAGTTTTAAATGACACCATCTCCTACCCTGATGGTACATTCATGGATTGGGAGTTTAAGATCTCGGTCTTATATGATATTGCTAAGGTAAGAGACCTGCAAACACAAAGGCATTTATGAAAATGAAACATAGGAAAACAGATCTAGCAGGCTTTCAACCTCTCTGACCATTGGTTTCTTCATCTGTAAAATGATAATAAAAATAGTACCTATGTCAGAGGATTGTTGTGAGGATTTTGTAAATAATACATATGCTTCATAGGATGCTTGGTACAAGTAAATGTTCAATATACAAGCTATTCTTTTTATTATTAATATTTTTTCTACTCTGAGTTTGGGGCACACATTTTCATAGACTTGCTGGAAAGCAAAATCATATAAAGCTGCAGGCAAGACAACAATCTTCAACTTTTTATGAGAAACTGTCAAGGACAGGCAACCCTCTTGCACGAGGCAATAATGAATTTGAACATGAATATTCCCAGATAGGATATGAAAAAGGAAGTGGATACCAGTGACCAGGACCTCGTTCAAGAATGAAGAAAAGTCAGTCCCAAGATTGAGCTGTTTGATACAGTCTTAAATCACCTGAAAATCATCTAGAATCAGAATCAGTTTTTAAAAATATTATAAGATCCCCACTCTCTTTGCCACTATTCACTCCTATGATCCAGGATGAAAACCAATTTCTGCAAGGACACCTCTGGCCACCAGAGGGGGAAACACAGCAGCCCAAAAACCTAAGGTTGGGGGTGGGGGGCTTCCCCTTTCATAACTGAAGGAAATATTCTCTTTCAAAATAGAATGAGACCAATTATATTTTAGGAAATAATAAGACTAGCTCCTCCTTTCAGAAAGGCAAGGCTATATTATTCATATTTTTTTTAATTGAGGTGGAAGACCAGAGATATACCCAAACAGATTGAATAATTAGTCAGCAGAAACACTTAAAAAAAAAAATTAGGATCAACGCTTTGTTTCATATTAGATGTAACTATTTAACTACAGTCTTTAGACAACTGCCTCTTAAGATGCCGTGCTGAGGCAAATATTAGGGCATTAACAATACTTTTCAAGTAAAATTAATGGAACTAAATTTAAAATCTGGTAGTGTGATTCTATATGCGTGCTGAAATGGTTTCAGAATGTCATTTCTTTCTTTAAAATAATCAAGCAGCTGAAGAGTGTCCTATCTCTGTTTCCCTGTCATCTGAAAAATTACAGGGAATGTCATACCTGCACTCCAGTAAGACTGAAGTCCATGGCCGCCTGAAATCCACCAACTGTGTGGTAGACAGTAGAATGGTGGTGAAGATCACTGATTTTGGCTGCAATTCCATTTTGCCTCCCAGAAAAGGTCTGTGATGAATGACATTTTTACTGGTTTCCCACTTAAAAAAAAATTCTCCCAAGTCCATGTAAGGTGGTCAGGGAGTAGGTGATGCTAAGTCAATAAAGACTTAGAGCCACAAGAGGAAACAGTTGGCTCATTCTCCAGCACTTCACCCTTGTCGGTTTTTAACAAGTGCTTCTTGAGTCCAACAAACCTCCTCTGTGGGTTTCCTTCATCCCTGTGTTTCTTGATATCAGTGAGGAAATCATGAAGAACTTATTGGCTGAGGAAGCAGAACTGGGTGAAAAAATAGACAAGGTTAGAGTCGTAAGAGACATAAAAACCATCTGCTCTAACCCTCATCCTTCATAGAAGACAGAATTGAGGTTCCAAAAGCCCAAGAGATTTGCCCAAGAAGATAGAATTCAAGGCCGAAGACCTATTTCCAAACTCTCATTCATTTATCTGTGATAATAAGAAATTATAATGATTAAAAAAAAACCCTCTTCTTAGTAAAATATATTCTTACCTGTCCCTTTCTAGATTGTGCTAAGGGTCAAAAAAAGTAACAGAAAGAAAAGTGATGTGCAGTGTTTAAAGGGTTTTTCATGTTGAACATTTATCCATTTTTTACTATAACTCAGGGTCAAACAGCCTCAGAAATCTAGCGCTCACATGTAATGCCTCAAAATACCACCTAGATCCAAAAACCTAAATTCTATTTCTAATTCTACTTGGCAATACTTTAGTTTTCCCTTAATAAAAGAAAAATGGTGGGGCGCCTGGGTGGCTCAGTTGGTTAAGTGTCCAACTCTTGATCTCAGCTCAGGTCTTGATCTCAGGGTCGGGAGTTCAAGCCCTACGTTGGGCTCCACACTGGGCGAGGAATCTACTTAAAATAAATAAGTAAATAAAAATACATTTTAAAAATAAATAAATGAAAGAAAAATTACAATGCTGTTCCTACTTCTTCAGTCACATCAAGCATAAGATGACATTGGACTCAATCCAATATTGAGATATTGATGAATATCTAGCACTTGTCAAGCATGGTTCATCATGTGGTGGAACAAACCTCCTTCATCAGATGACTCACCACAACACAAAATCAGATGAATTGCTGTTCAAATGCTTTCCTCTTGAACATCACTCAGTTATACCTACCTATCTGTGCTGTTGGTTACCTGAATTGTTAGCATATGTGGATCTACTTACCTTTCTTACTACCCCAAACCATTAGGATCAATCGTATGTATCTGAATCACAAGTCACATAAATGAATAAGACATAAATTCAAAAAGGTAATGAACATTTGGATGGCAAACCAAACATGAGGAAAACGTGCCTCAACATAAGCATGCCACTGGACCTCACAACGTGAATCTATAGATTTTTCATTGAAACTGCTGAAGACAGAAATCACAAAAAGTTTAGAAGGAGATAGGTGACCCTAGAAAACTTACATGGGATGGAGGAAAATTAATGGTATGCCCTTATTGTTACTAAATAAGCTACGTGATAGGGTTCAAAACCCAAGTGTCTATAGGAACCAAACATGGAACACAGGAACACTTCACTTGTGTGGAGTGAACTACATGGAAAGCATTAGGAAGTAGCAGGCACAGAGTAAAATTATTGTATGCAGTAATGTTAAAAAATATTTTATGTATTTATTTTTGCGAGAGAAGGAGTGAGAGTGAGCACGTGCAGGGGTTGGGGGGGCGGTGGGCAGAGGGAGAAGGAGATTGCCCGCTAAGCAGGGAGCATGATGCACCGGGCTCGATGCGGGGCTCAATCCCAGAACCCTGGGATCATGACCTGAGCTGAAGGCAGACGCTTAACCGACTGAGATACCCAGGCGCCCAAATTGTATGCATTATTTTTTAAAGGATACTGTGGGAACCCAAGAAAACACATCTGTGAGCAATAACAGATTTAGAGGCTGCCAATACGTCCCACCTGCAAAATATCAGTGATAGGCTCTTTACTTAAATGCTTTTAAACATGTATGCATATATATTAAACATAATACTTTTATGTGACAAAATATATAAATGTATTTTTTATTTTATAATAAAAATATATAAATTTATATATTTTTTATTTATGAAGGTTTTCATAGATGTATGCCATATGTCCCAAAAGCTATTAAATCCTCAGCCTCTCATATTCTACTGCACTCATTCTACAAATATTTCCCGAGTACTTTCTATACACCAGGTGCTATTCTAGGTAGGCTTGAGGGTTTTCAGTGCTATGATCCTAGAAGTTTTAGGGAAGACGTTGCCACGTGACCTCACCCAAATCCTGGCATTACACAGTCAGCTTAAAAGGCCAGGGTGTGTTCTCCCCCAATCACCAGCATTAACATAAACTCCTCCAAAGTTTGGGACATACAAATTCAGGACCACTCGGATTAAGGGTGCATGGCATAGAGACTTAAAGAACAAAAGCGGGTTGGAGACCTATGGGCCACTCATCTCCCTCGATTTTGCAATCTCACTGCTGAATGCGCAGACCTGTGGACAGCCCCAGAGCACCTCCGCCAAGCCAACATCTCCCAGAAAGGCGATGTGTACAGCTATGGGATCATTGCCCAGGAGATCATCCTGCGGAGAGAAACCTTCTACACGTTGAGCTGCCGGGACCAGAACGGTAAGTCAGACCGATTCATCTGCCCTCTCTGGGAGCCTGTGTTCTAGGCTGACTTCATCTGTCTATGACCACAGCTCAGTCCCCTCATCTGCAAAAAGTAATGGCATATCCACCCTGCATGTCCCATAGGGGTATTAGAGGGGTTGACAGTATGAATGTTAGAATGCTCTGAAGAGCATAACATACCAGATGTTGTCATTGTCATCATTGTCAGTTAAAGACTCTTTCCTTACAATCTCCCCCTTCCCTTCTGATTCTAATAAAAGATGAGTGTCTGTTTAACCCCTGAACTAGATCACTCTAGTGGGACAACATACATTTTATAGTTCCTACTGAGAGAAGATCTATAGATTTTGTCACACGTCCTCTCTGGGGCGGGGGTGGGGGAGGCTGGGGGGGGGGGGCGGCAAACGCTTCCTTCCTTTCATCCAATCCTTGCTTATTGAGCAATTATGTCCCAGGTCTCAACTCTCTGGAGGGTGGGTGTCTAAGGGGTATAGGGAGGGCGTGTTAGGGTCTTAGAAGAAGCCTACTAAGGGTAGTGGTATCCGAGTTACGTTTTAAAGGCTTAGGAACCTTAACTTAAGCTAACCTCCTGGGTATAAGTGGGTATCACACCCCTTCACCTGGTGGCTCATTCATCCTGTTGAGTGCTGGCCTCAGCTCTGCAACATTCTCACTGGGCACCCATCCGGGAGGAGGGGGGAGGGTGAACCAATTCAGAGTCTGCTGCTGCTAAAATGTTTTCATGCTGCATTCTTTCTTGTAATTTGAATTATTCTCATCCCATCAGAGAAGATTTTCAGAGTGGAGAATGCCAATGGAGTAAAACCCTT